AAACAACAGTTCAATCCGCGTGCAATTAAAGCGGGAGGTGTTGTTAGCTCAAATTTTAAAACGGTCAAGTTTTTCATGCATTGTGCAACATTTGTGGATGTTGCATGATGTTGTACTCGTTTGGCCAGGTTCGTTCAACAATGTTGTGCCAGGACATGCGCACTAGTTCGATTTGCAACACCCAACATGTCGGGCCAACATTGTTGCGATGTGCCTCTGCCCCCTTCTGAACCTCCCAATACAGTTTTACCACGAATACCGTGTGACGTCATCCTTGTGGCCAAACACCATAGCAACAGTCAATCAGTAAAACAATCAATTAATAATTTGACACCACACGCGTCGTTGGGCTGACAAGGAATACTAGAAAATGCATCGAGAACATCAACAAACTGTGGTCATACCTCTTTCACAGATGACACATCAGCCGGTTTAAAATGTTCCGCTACAGTACGAGTGTGTTCAACTCTTGCCGCTTCTCGTCGCCTTTTCTTNGTAACAATGTCCTTGGATTCAAGGGGTTATCAGTCAAGATATTCACCAACATTAAGCTTAGGCCAAAAAACTCTCGACGAGAATGTACAAGGAGAATAGGTTAATTAAGATTTGTGCAGCTTCCCAAACATTTTCAATCAGGAGTCAAAAACTCCTTTATTTTCCATTTCCTAACGCTCACACTGAGGGAACAAACGAAACAAAGCGTTTCTCTCGGTCCAGTGCCAAACTTACTTATCAGATGTAATAATTTCCGTAGCCTTGATTTGAACTATCTTTGACTTGGATGGCTCTATCCACACATCTGGTTTTTCCTGTGACAATAATGATCATAATTTCATGGCAAATAAATAAATACTAAGTAATTAACAATTATTCAACGATGTCGGGGTGAATAGTGGTGGATGTTTCGCGGGCGAGGTAAATATCCACCACTTACCGACACCGAGGTGAATAACTGTTTTAGTATATACCACACAGGCTGAATAACTCAGTAGCGGACCAAAAAATGACTTACAAAAAATAATAAAAATATACTATATCTGACAATAAACCGACAAATGGACGGAAATTTCGAAATCTCACGTGATCGGCTGCTAGGGGGTTAAATAGTACTTTGCTAATAAACTAATAAGAGTTAACTATTCAGAACGCGTGAAAAACATTATTCACTTGTCTGGTATACTGTAAATTACCGCTTATAATCCCCTCTGGTTATAGACCCATCTAGCTGTAAACAAAATATTTCTTCCGATTACAAGCTCGCCAGGATATAAGCTCCTCCCCCCTTCCCAATAAAGCTTATCTAAAAGCCAGTATATGAAAATCGTATTTCAAACATCGCTTCATTAACTCATTTCCAAACGGGTTTTTAATTCCGCGTATAAGCATGGACTGGCTGAACGCAAAGCTGTTAGTTGCCTGACTGACCAACACACAAAAAAAACTCAATTAACAGTACAATCTGCACTAACACAGACCAAGATACTCAACTCATACTTACTTTGTAACCGGGGGCCAGAATAATAGAGCCAGGAGGCCTTTTAGTATCAAATGCATTCCAGTGCGGACGCAACTGTTGATCTAGTTCACGCAGCTCATTCATAGTGTAACCAGACCCAACCTTTGTGGACAAGATACGTCATAATCACTCAGTGTCTACTTGCCTGGACAACCCATAATAATCAATATGATCATAACTTTCTTCTCTGTGGAAATCTATTGACAAAAAGTTTTATCATTTGTTCTGTTATCCTACGATGTAACAGACAGTTTGCAAACAAATGCAAAATGAACTCTGCTTATTATTGCTGTATTTTCCCAAACAAATCTTTCCAACATTTCAACTCTCACTGCTTCAAACTGGAAAACGTGTGGAAGATAAGGATAATTTTAAAATGGTTTACAAAGAAAAAGAAAACGAATTTTCCTGCCAAAAACCCCGATTGCTGTTGCACCAGACACGCCTCAACTCATAATCACGGTTTGTTGAATACAAAACGAACAAGTCAAAGGTGAAAAAGTTTATTGCCAAGAAATCAATGTTCAAAATGACGAGTGCAAAACGTTACCGTTACTAATTAGTTCAGGTGAATTCCTTTTTTTTACAGACCATAAACTAAAGAACATTTTATTGACGAGTAAAAATCTTTTTTCCTGAACTATACATCCACCTCAATCTAGTTGAATAATATCTATTAAAACTTTGACAATGGTGACAGAAGCAAACCTGAAGGAAGCTTCTTTCCGTGGCATAGTAAAATATTTAACTTTGCCACATGTTAACGTTTCTTTTGGCTATCAAAAATTGCAGAAACTTTGCTTCTCACACACTGAATGGCATTTTTCTGCTACACAGGTGATATCCTAACTCGGGCCCAGCCCCCGCTTCAGTATGTGAGAACCTCATTTCTCACCTCTTTTGCAAGCTCAGCTTTAACTAGATAAGAACATATATTGATATAAGAACAAGTCAAATTAATGCTACCTTACAAAAAGAGTGGAACACTTGAGGATGTTCCCCTGGTGTGCTGGACGACACAGCCACTGCACACATAAAATGAGATATCATTCCACTACGGCGCTGGAAATAAACGAAAACAAATGAAAAATGATTACTCAACAAAGATACGATTGGTTTAGGGTTCTTACTTCATTGAACAATTGCTAATGATTGAAACCCTATGAAATGTGATGAACACGAGTTTGCCACACAACGTTAAGTCTTTATTTCCACTTAATTGATAAAATTAATGTACACCTACATTTTAAACCCTTCACGTAATTTTTTTTTGCATAAAAAGTTCAAAACATTACTCAGCATGAACGTATGTATACAAGTACATTTATGTTTGGTGAATTAGTCATACACTATATAAAATCATCTGTTATGTACACATTCTTATAAGAAACGATTTGGAAATACACGAGACAATAAATATAATTGATAGAAACCGACGTTTCTTGGCATCTTGCGCCATTACTGAGGTTACATAATTAATGTAATCAAGAAATGCACGAACAAATTTGACTGCCTTGGTAATGACATGCTGTGTGTTCAAGATCTTAAACCAGCATTGAATGTACAGTCTGATTCTCTTCGTGCTAAAGTATTCATGTAATTTGTTTGGCACTCTTTTATGCAAATTCGCTTCAACTTAGCCTCTTCACAAACTGCTTTTGATCATTAATTATGTAACCTTGATAATGGCGCAAGATGCACCGAAACGTCGGTTTATATCACTTATATTACTTGTCTCATGTACATGTATGTACACATTGTAAGTGGAAAACTATCTAGCACAGACAATATTATGCTATTATTATATCTCTCAGTTAGTACGCACGCCATGATTGGTCAATTTAGCAGGCCATATTCTACTGTACAGCTAAAATTTAAAGCGGCTAAAATTTATGGCCCGCGCGCTTTGTGCTTGGGCTATAAGTCGATGGAGAAAAAACTCGGGCTGTAACTTACAGTATGGCCCTCGAACTCGGTTAGTAAGGAGTATTTAGGTAATAGCCTAGTTCCTAGGTCTCAACATTATGCCGCGGTCAATCGTCTCGGGCCGTTCGTCTGGGATACGTCACTGAAATCAATTGACCACAAAGGCCTGGGAGAAAGCCGTACAGGAACTAAGCAATAAATTTATTATTTACTTACACCAACTCCAAAATAACCACCAACAATCAACAGATCGAGCTAAGTGAAGAACACAATAGTGTGAGTTACATCACAGAGATTAAGACTACTAATGATTGAACTGAAAGTCTTAAAAATTGTCTTGGTTACAGTAAACGTTTGAAGTTGTACTTCAGTGGCATGTTGGGTGATCATATAAGAGTTATAAGCAATTGATTGATCGAGATTGAGGCCTCGAGCTGCTATATTTCTTTTTTATTCCAAGATACGGTTGGTTACGTTGAGGGTCTGGCTTGGTTTAACTGACACCTAAGAACTGGTCTGTTTTGACCATTTTTCAACTGATAGCTGAGATCCGAGATCTGAAAAATTTACAGATTGCTGAGATAATGGGCTGAAATTTCACTGGTAGCTGAGAAATTGCCTAAAATTTAACAGGTAACTGAAATTACGTCACCCACACCCAGACCCTCTATGTTGGTTCCAGATCACAGGATACACATGTCGCAATACTTGGCCTAATATGATCTAACAGACTGTGCAATCAGTGCGCAGGGCGCTGATTGTGTTTTAGAGCAAGACAATTTACTCTCACAATGCCTCTCTCCACCCAGGAGTACAAATAGGTCGTCTGGAAAATTAAATGCTGGAGGCAACCCTGCGATTGACTAGCATCCCATCCAGGGGGAAGTAGAAATACTCCTTGTTGCTTCATGTTGCTGAAACTAGAGATAAGTGTCAGCCTGATGGCCACTTGGTTCGAAAATAGCCGTTGCATTTAGCATTCCAGGCCTGGCATTTGGAAGATGACTCTTACCTGGCCACTGGTTTCTGCAGCATGAAGCGGCTAGGAGTAGACATTATATAGCTACTTATACTGAAGACCATTTTTACAGTCGTCTGCTCGGCAACCTGGCCTTTGAATGGCAGCGAGGCTGGAGGTGACCTTGCTTTTATAAAGACCTCTCTACTTTTGTCATGTAAATGCACCTAGTTAGCATTAGAACAACTTTATTTACACAACAAAAGCAGTGAGGTCTGTATCAAAACAAGGTCACCTCCAGCCTCGCTGCCATTCAAAGGTCAGGTCACTAAGCAGACAACTATAAAATGGTCTATTGCTAGTCTGATGTAGCAATGAACTAGTTACCTCATCACTTAAACTATCCACATATTCAGGTTTAATCTTCAACCAANCTAGCAGTATGCTGGACACCTGTCATATATGAACTCAGTTAAATGACCTTGCTCTCCATGAGTTCTCGTAGCTCAGTGGATAGAGCGCCCGCCTGGTGTCTGGGAGGTCATGGGTTCGATTCCTGTCAGGGACTCAGAATTTTTTCTTTGTCCCATGCTCGTGTCATGTTGATCAATTCACCTTCACATAATCACAATATGTTTTCCGACTGGAAGGAGACAGTGAAACCTCCAGAGGAGGCAGCTCGTTGAGCCAGCGGCTGGCTGATTTTGAGAAGGCTGTACACTGTAGGTAACCTGCAATGGACTAGTATCCCATCCTAGGGGAGTACATGTAGCAATAATCAAAGCTGCTTCATGCTAAATGTACATGTACACTGAGCTATGAGCCAGTTGGGCTTGTAGGACCCTTTACGCTTTTGACTAATATGTCATTTTGCTTTTGCCAACAGTCTTCAAAATCAATTTGTAGACATAATAACTCAGTCACTGTACAATGTCTTCTTGGTTATACTCATGTACATACTTTGTTGAAACTTCACATCTCTCAACAAACTGAAGATATCCAGGCTGTGGCTTCAACATTCTGCAAAAACACTATGGCTTAGCTGTGATATGGCTGATGGTTGGAGACACAAATCTTCAAGAAAAGAACTGTCAGTGAAGACATTATCAAGTAAACATATGCCATCTAGTGTAATAATATTGTGCAAATTGACTGACGTCACACATGAAGAGACTACAGCACAAAAAACTACAAAACCAGCACACGTGAAATAAACTTAAATAACATTTAAGTTATTTATTAAAATAATTGCTACATGTACATGAAGGAAACTTACTTTTCCATTGATTTGATCCTTTCACTAAGAGGAACATTGGCAAGTTTTCTCTCATTAATAACAAGCATATCAAACACAATAAAACATGGATTGTGACCTAAAATATGAAAACATAAGAAATGACACAGACCAAAATTATTAAAAGGAACCAAAGGGTACTTTCCAAGTTTTGGATTTTCTAAACCAAAATGATTATTATAATTTTTACATTTCCTCTTTTAGGCCAAAATTTAAGTTTTTTTTTTCAATCTGTTACTGAATTAATAATAATCACATGACTATTAATAGTTTATAAAATAATATTTTTTTACGCCATTATATTAAGTAATTTCATTTTACATATGCGTACCTGTTACTAAATAATAATACTTTTCAACAGCTTCATTAAGAAAATTTCTTACATTTTAGCTAAAAGATTGTATGGATTTTCTACCTGAAACATCAATTCAAATAATGTGAGAGTGGATTTCAAAAGAATTGCAAGTATGGTCTAACCATTTTCATATGTAGTGAAGGATTTCACATCTACATTCATGCCTTTGGATCTGCAAACATACACAGAATACATTGATGTGAAGGTTTCAGCTGTACATGCTTCAAACAGTACACCAAAATGAAATTACTTGGTGGAAGACATTTTCGGGGATCAGTTAAATGTGTACAAGAAAGAAGAGAAAAACGAAAACAACTGGGTGGGGGGCAGAGAGGGAGGAGGACAGAACTAAGGAAGGAGCGAAACCTGTAGGAAGGTAGGGAGTGAGAATGGATGGAAGAACAGAAAGACCCGGTTTTATTTTGAACTGCACTTCTTATTACGCAAGATTTCCTGGGGATGGTCAAACCAGGTGGGCAAAATCAGTCTAACAAGCCTGGCAATTTGCCTCATGTCCAGCACTAAATGAAACACGGTCACCTACCAGACAACAGACAATTAATCAACTGAAGGAAGAAAAGGCCACACAAATGAACAAACTAACAATCAATGAAGGAATTAATACAATAGATGAGTAAAAGAATAAGCTAAATAAATATTTGAAGTTTGATGACTTACAACCATATATCTGTTGTTTTATCAACCACAACCATTTCTCCATCCAGTATGCAGGAATGAACAGAACTAAATGAAAATCAGAGGTAAGCTTGTTAGGAAATTGCTCTCTGTAAATGGGTTTGCTTCAATAATTGATCCATTTTACATTTATAAAAATGTTTAGTAGCTACTTTCAATGCTGTGATGGTGACCGTGAAGAAAAACTAGGGGTTCCACCTCAAGAGAAAAAGAAAATGCAAATGAAGTCCTCCTGAAATAAATTTATTTATTCAGTTTGCCTTGTAACATTATGCAATGAAACCAGATCTCAGCTTTAGATAAGTAAGAACAAAAAAATGATTGAAATATCCTTTATGTCATTGTTTCACAATTTTCATGAAGATTGTGTAAAAAAGTGGAATCTTAAATAAATGCAGATTTGTAAACTTGAAAATGTGTTCTATATTGCAGTAGTGCTGTTCATCATAACACATAATAGCCACAAGACACTAACTATAAATTACTTTTCAATCAAATAAATGAAATACCTCGAGAAGCAACAAGCAATATGAGGTGTGAGAACACCGGCAGTTGCGTTTGAACCAAACACGTGAGTGTAGTCATTGGCACTGCAATAAAAAAGACCTAATATATAACCTTAGCCAGGATTAAAATGAAAAAATAAAACAACCATTAACCTTTATTTACTCTCGGTAGTGTTATGCACAAAGGCTATTGGCACTGAGCAAACAACTGATATAGCACTGGAAAACAATCAAGATGGCCAGACCCATGAAATTTGAGAATTATGAAGACAATTTTTTCATTAACATTTTTATTAGCATTTTGCTACCCCAATAATGTGTTCTACATTGTAATCACAATGAGTCCCAACTCAAACAAAATAATCACACGAGAAATATTGGATGACTTATGTGTTATTGGACATAAAAGGTACATGTACTGTGTATCAAACAAAGTGATACCTTCGTGAGAAATACATAAAACAATCTCCTTGTTTATGGAGTTGCATTCTCTCTCCATCTATTTTTGTCTCTATGTAAAAAGACTGATTGCCCATCAGCTTTTCTACCTGTATTTACAAAAAGAAGATCAAACATTTATTAACGTGGTCTGTGATAGACAGGACTACAAAATTAATACTCTCATTTATAGAAATGAGACTTTATATTTGGAATAATTGTTGATTATTTTTTTCTAAAATATCTAATTAATTTGCCCCCTTTTTCCCCTAATGTCAGACTAGTTCATTCACATGTTCACCATAATTAATTGCATCTAAACTATTTAATTTTCCTTTTTTGTACAATTTTCACTACATGTATACTGTACATGAAACATAAAGTATTATCAGTAGCACAAACTGCAAAGGTGTAAAGTGCTTACCCAAAAATTACAGTACAAAAAAAGAAATGATTATCAATAGCTGAATTTGCTTAAAAGTTAAATGCCCTGAGTAATTACTTCATTCTTGGCCTGGTAGACCCTTCCTTGCCCCTGCAGTTTTTATTCAATACTTGTGACCTCTCACGTGAAAACGTCACTAACGGATATCCGTTAAACTGTCAAAACAAATGGCTGGCGAATGGCTAATGAATGGATGGGAAATGGATGTNTTCAAATGACTAGAATTTTTTCTGAACAGATGATCCAATCTGTTTGAATGGCATCCCATCGATCACGAATGGATGACAAACGGATGGCAAACAACAAGCGAACGGTTTTTAAGCATTCGAACAGATAGCCGTAGTGTATGTTTTCGTGTGAGAAGTCACACTTATGCATAATCTTATAACTTGGAGACCTGGCATATAACTATTCAGGACCTGCCAGCCTTTACTCAGCCTTTGATCAAATGTAATACTGTTCAATAGTTGTTTCAAATTAAACACAGTAATTATTCACTGGCCTCTCCAATGTCTCCTCTTTGACCTAGCATGGGTCTGAATGGTGAGAACATCGACATCTCTGCTTCATTCATCCTGATACTACGATCATGAAGATCCATGCAAACCTGTCAAGATAATGGTGTACAATTTAACTGAAGTCATCTATTATTATTTTAAATACTACATTGTACATTGTACAGTTCTGTTTGATATAATTATATCACATTTGATTTTCGTCTACTGACAAAGAAAAATACAAACTACTATCACTGTTAATAGAGGGGGGTAAGTTTCTAAAGAGACTGTGGTGCTGCATCGGTGGGGAGTATAACAAGATAATTTGGTTTTATCAACTGGGTTGATAATGTGAATTGGCCACTGTAAAGAGATTCGAAAGCTGACATTTCCAGTTTTAGCCCTTTATCGGAGTGAATGGATTTGCTCCGACGAAGGGCTAACGCTCAAAATGTCAGCTTTCGAATCTCTTTAACATGAAATGACAAGAAGTATTTTAATTCCTACTCCCCCCTGGGTGGTATTCTAGTCCATCATAGGGTTACCCCCAGCATTAGATTTGCTGCTTCCCATTTATACTCCTTCCTGCAAGCTGTAGTCCAAGGGAAACACACACACAAAAAAAACATTGAAAAGAAAATGCTGAACAATCTTGTCATAACATTGACATTTTGGTTCTCACCTTGGGTAAACTGTTGCAGACACTGTAGAGCTCCACTGCATCAGGATGGTAAACATTGAACACGGAGTTCTCGCTGAGACCAATTTTAAGTTCCTAGTGTGACTGACCAAATTAGTTTTGAGCAGTATCTTCTAGTTAACATCAGCATTGTGTTACACAACATCTTTTATGAGCAGTTAGTTTTATCATACATCTGTTCATGTAGCATTCAAATTTTAACCCATTGGATCATTGGATTATTCCACTCACGCTTGCTGGATATGAGATGGTTATACATGTAGCCAACTCAGCGTTACACGCCTCACTGGCTATCTACCATCTCATATCCAACGCGCGCTTGTGGAATAATTGTTAATTAGTTAAATGGAATAAGAAGCAGACCATCGAGAGCACAGAGAAGATCATCAATCTCTTGGTGACACAATTGCTTTCTGTCAAACACTTCTAGGAAAAGATTGCACGACAATTGCCAAAAAGACCCTGCAATCATTGGTTGCATGAAAATTGCAAAACAAGAACTCAGGACAATTTATTACACCTACAGTGTACAGTTCTCAATTTTGCCCAGAAAAAAAATGGCAAGATGTCTAGTAAGTACAGCAATTTTCTGTGAATCTCTTGGTTACAGTGTAAGTCACTGCTGACAGCATCTTGTAAATTACGAGTTTTTTTCTTAAAGCACTACATGTAAAACAACCCTTTATTAAAACAAACTCACCTTGAAAATGATCCTGATTAACCATTTCTAAATACGAAAAAGAACAAAATATTGACAGAAATCAAATCATGTATTCCTATTAGTATTAATTAGTGACAATAATTATACACTAAAGGTACACAAAAACCCACCTGTTCAAGGGCACTTGTGTTCCGGAGAAGAAGTTGCAGAGCTTTTTTGACATCATCCCGTTTGTGTTCAAGATTTGCCTGTGCCACCTGATCAAGATGCTTGTTCACCTCGTCAATCTTTAAACTAAGAACAAGCACAGCAAAACTTAAAATACACAGTGACACTGTGATCATAAGTGGCCAAGTGAAATGTTCCTTGTAGCTGTCAATGGTGTTAAATCAGTGATGTTATAATTTCAATTGTTAAAACCTGGATGATTGGATAATGCAATTCAAGAGTTGTCATTCACTTGGCCATCATAGGACATGAGCCATTACACCATGCTCTATGAGTAATTATCATGGTAAGTGTACACAACATGTTTTGGGGCCTTTTTCTATTTTATTTTTAACTAGTTTTCTGTATTTTGGGGGCATTTTTAATAATTAAACAATTGAAGGGGTGAGTGCAAAACCATGCTAAGTGACNTCTCAGTTAGTGGGGACGATTGAAAAAGCGGGGGTGCAATGTGCGGAGTCTGGTATTGACCTTCCCTTTTTCTCTACCAGACCCTGCTCGTCACTCAATGCCTGGCGGCTTTTTATTCTCCCCACTGACTGTGATCCTGGAACAGTAGCTCGTCTTGACCATCGTTAATTCTTCCAGAGTTTATTGCCTTTCCACAAAACCAAGCAATGCACTTTGGGAAAAATACAAGGTGGTGGTCAAATAACAATGGGAATGAGAAACAATGTCTTAGCTTGGTAAAACAAAAGAACAGTGCATCCTAAATTTAGCAGATTGGTCTAGACAAAGACCTGATTGATTGAATGATGATAGGAAAGGTAAAATATATGAAATGTGAAGAACTGACAGTTTCGCAACCTGTAAATGACAGTTTATCAACCTGTAAATGAACTGTCAGTGCTGCAATATATCTAACTGCATCACATAGCCACACGGTATGAGGAAGGTTGTTTTACAAGGAAAAAATCTTACGATTCTTGAAGAACACAAATATGAAAAAAAGTTCCCACCTCCTTTATTCCATAAGCACCTCTTTCTTTGTCCAAATGAGGCAACAACAGCCGCATAGCAGAATGGAATGAGTCAGTCTAAAGCAGTAAAAAACAGTTTTAGATTTTGTGGTTTAAAATGTGTATGTAGAGTGAACTAGAAGTCTGCACTGAATGGTGCTCAAGTTCACCTGTTTAACCCATTGACTCCCGTGCCGCCCGTAACTGCCTGTGCAAAGAACCCCTCCAATTTCCTGTGCCGCCCATAACCACCCAAAGAAAAGCAGGTGAGGACAATAGCCTTTCCTACCCTCCCTAGACTTATTGGCTCTCTTATTGTTCTATTGTTCTTGAGGACAAATAAACCAATCAGAATCGACTTACTGAGCATATCTTTAGAGGGCTTTAGGGGTCCTAGAAAGACGGCTTTTCTTCTTAAATCCTGCTCTCATAAAGTGCAGGATATAATGGCGTGCTGCAGGCCAAATCTACTAACTTCAAAGGCCTTGTTTTCATTCCTAACACGGAGAAATTACTGCTTTGGGATTTAAAATAGAAAAGAAAAATACAAATTAATGTTTAGGTGGCCTCAGAATGGAAGATCAAGGAATACAGAGTCCTCAAACCTTTCTGGTGAAGAAGAAGTGTGCTTTCAAGTGAGTTTTGAATACAGATCACAGACTAAAAGCAGCTTCCTGGACTTAAGAAAACAAAAATGGTAATGTACATTATTACTTCAAAGTTAAATTCAACTTTTGCTTTTAAATAGGTTTCTTCACCTCAGCTTGAATGAAAATTTATTGTTACTGAACTTCCTTCCGCATTTCCTTCACTTGGTGCCCTGTTTTGGGGAATTTCAGGTCTTAAAAGTGAACAGTATTTTTGCACGCCGTATTTCTGCATATTTAATTTACGGCGACCTCCGCAGTTTGTTTGATTAGTTTGTTCGCTTCGTTCCAACTATATTTTTTGGAGTGTTATTCAGCTACTAAAGAACTGCCAAGAAAAGAACTAAGTGGCCACTAATTCAGCACAGTTGAAACACGTTTGATCTCGAAATAATTAGCTTGTTTTTGCCATGTTTTTGACTTACAACTTTAATCTCTCTTTCGCAGCGCTGTAACATTTCGTTGCGCAGCAAATAAATTATTTGATTTCTTGATTTCAAATTGGTTTTTACATGTGCCTTTCGCATTTTTATTTTCCATTGTTTCCTCAAATGCTAACCGTTATATCACAAGAATGGAAATTCTATTGTATTTGGTTTCAATTTGTCCTCCGAAGTCAATAACAAGTCGTGTTTGCATATTCAATTTTCTCGGCTTCTGTTGTGCATTTCGTCGCGCGGCAGAGAAATAAAAATAATTTCTTGTTTTCTCATCAGTTTTAAACATCAAGTTGAGTTCTTTTTGTTGATATTTTTTAATATTTTGGTCCTTCATTTATGTCTTGAAACCTAATCTTGTGTGCGTGGTTGCTGTGCATATGGTTTATTTTTAGTACTCAAGCTCATTCTGAAATGTTAAAAAATTGTCAGGAATTTAGGGGTGGGTTGCGTGCAATTTCATTTGGGAGTCAATAGGTTAATGTTGCAGCTCTTGACATGAGAAATGATAACAAAATACATTCACAGTTTGTCATCTTTGTTCTGCACACCGTCATACACCAACTCTTGTGCCTGTCAACAAATGCCCCGGAGTGGCAGGAGTGGGGCATTTTACCAGTTAAGCTTGGATAATTAATGCCTCTTTTTTTAGTGGGGGGCTGTTCCTAGCCTCAAACTTCTTCCCTTTTATTGTCACAATCACAATTCAGAGAGTTTGCAAGTCATTGTCAGAATTTCAACATGTCTTGCTGTTCATCATTATTTCACCAGCCTCCATGTTGCTGCCCCCCCTCCCCCCCCCCAACCTCGTTCCCAGGGTCTCTCATCTTACCGCCCCCTGGAGCGAGCGAAGAGAGACCCTGGTTGGGTCTGGTCACGTGCCACTTTGACAATTGAG